GGGTTATTTGTGGGACATAGAAATCCGTTCATTATTATTTTTTTCAAAGTGTGGTCTGCCCCCCCCCAAGGTTTGAGGGATTGTGGACCGGCTCCCTGCTGAAAAGTTGCTGACCTCTGCACAAGAGCAATTCTTTCCTCCTGCAGCCTGCAGGCAACTGGTATTCCAGAGCACCGCCACCCCCAACAGTGGAGACTTATTCTCCCCCATGCAATTGTCTAACCCCCTTTCAAAGCCATGCAAGTTGGAGCCCATCGCTGCCTCCTTCGCAGTTAAGTCTTGCGTTGCATGAAGGAGTTTGAGGCACAGGCTTCCCCTCTGAACTTGTCAAAACCCATCCCCATCCTCTGTTGTTGTTGTTGTTGTTTAGTCGTTTAGTCTTGTCCGACTCTTTGTGACCCCTGGACCAGAGCGTGCCAGGCACTCCTGTCTTCACTGCCTCCCGCACATTGGTCAAACTCATACTGGTAGCTTCGAGAACACTGTCCCACCATCTCGTCCTCTGTCGTCCCCTTCTCCTTGTGCCCTCCATCTTTCCAGCATCAGGGTCTTTTCCAGGGAGTCTTCTCTTCTCCTTGTGCCCTCCATCTTTCCCAACATCAGGGACTTTTCTAGGGAATCTTCTCTTCTCATGAGGTGACCAAAGTATTGGAGCCTCAGCTTCAGGATCTGTCCTTCCAGTGAGCACTCAGGGCTGATTTCCTTAAGAATGGAGAGGATTGATCTTCTTGCAGTCCATGGGACTCTCAAGAGTCTCCTCCAGCACCAGAATTCAAAAGCATCCATTCTTCGGCGATCAACCTTCTTTATGGTCCAGCTCTCACTTCCGTACATCACTACTGGGAAAACCATAGCTTTAACTATACGGACTTTTGTTGGCATTTGTTGATGTTCCTTCATGGATCACTGCCTTGCCGTGGCGAAGGGGCTTGAATAACTCAGAGAAGCTATGAGCTATGCCGAGCAGGGCACCCAAGATGGACAGGTCATAGGGGAGAGTTTTGACCAAACGTGATCCACCTGGAGCAGGAACCGGCAAGCCACTCCAGTATCCCTGCCAAGAAAACTCCATGGACAAAGACAACAGGCATCCATCTCTGAGGAGGCACTAACTAACACCTCCTCCTTCAACGCCTTTGCTTGCGTGGTGTCTGCCTGTGTGCCTTTGGCTCCTTCATCGCCCCAATCTGAGCATCAGAGGTTTGGGCAGGAACCACGCCCTGAGTTTGAGTTCGCCAGCGAGAAGGCGCCAAGAGCTTTGCCCTCAGATGCCAGTCTGCCACTGAACCTACTGAGAGCAGTGTTGAACAGGATCCTGGACCAGATCGCAAGGCTTGATCAATTTTTTTATTTTATTAGTTTTCCAAATTTATAACAAACATATCCACAAACAAAAAAAGAAAACATCAAAAAACAAGCAAACAAACATATATCCAAGCTGTAAAAAAACCCACTGGCTGAGTTTCCATATACAGTGGTACCTCGGGTTACATACACTTCAGGTTACAGACTCCACTAACCCAGAAATAATACCTTGGATTAAGAACTTTGCTTCAGGATGAGAACAGAAATCATGGCAGCAGCGGGACGCCCCATTAGCTAAAGTGGTGCTTCAGGTTAAGAAAAGTTTCAGGTTAAGTACGGACCTCCCGAATGAATTAAGTTTACCTGAGGTACCACTGTAGATCATTGTAGCAGTTTCCCAAAACTATTTTCACATAGAATTTACTTGGTCAATTAACATCTTTCTTCCTTTTCATTTTGACTTTTATCCATAGTCTTCACAATATCACATATTTAAATCCTAGGCCAATCGGTTACTCCCAAGTATTTCTGTTTAAGTTATCTTAACACATTTAACTAAATAATCTTTAAATTTCTTCCATTCCTCTTGATACTCCTTCTGGTCGCAGACTCTTCCGGTCAGGTCGGCTCGCTCCAAAAAGTCCATCATCTTCATCTGCCAATCTTCCACTGTTGACACTTCTTGTAGTTTCCAATTTTTGGCCAGCAAAATTCTAGCTGCAAGGCTTGATCGATTGCTTGTTGGGAACACCGGGCGTTTGGGGTGTTTAGATGCGCACCGGTGGTCCCTGTTTTTGCATGCCAGCAGCACCCTTCTCAGGTGGGTGGGGCGCTCTCCTCTTCCCCCCCGTTCCCCCACCCCCGGTTGGTGGCATGTGCCAGCCTCTGGGAACCACGTCCTTTGCAGATCTCATCTCGAATCTGATCACGCCTCCAGCCGCGGTTGTTTTAATTAAACTCCGAGGAATTCTGCACAATGTGCCACAAGATTAACATTTTTGTTTAATTAGAAACACTCCGTAATAATAGTTGTCGCAAGCACCCTCCCTTCGCCGCCCTCCCTCCCTGATCTCCCCGCTCATATAATATCCACCCACCCTCCTCCTGCCTGTCAAGAGGGGCTGATCTATCTCTTGGCAGATTAATTAGTTTGTGGAATTAACAAGCTTCGGGAAAGGGGCGGCATCTGAGCGGAGGAGCTGGAAGCTTCAGAGCATGATGTCACATCCAGCCAATCAGGTGCAAGACATTCCCATGCTCCACATGGAATGATGCAAACAAACCGGCTGCCGGGTGCGCTTCGGATGAATGCACAGGAAATTCTGAATGGTGTGTGAAGCATGGGTAGGCAACCTAAGGCCTGGGGGGGCCGGATCCGGCCCAATCGCCTTCTCATTCTGGCCCGTGGACGGTCCAGGAATCAGCGTGTTTTTACATGAGTAGAATGTGTCCTTTTATTTAAAATGCATCTCTGGGTTATTTGTGGGGCCTGTCTGGTGTTTTTACATGAGTAGAATGTGTGCTTTTACAGTGGTACCTCTGGATACGAACGGGATCTGTTCCGGAGCCCCGTTCACATCCAGAAGCAAACGTAACTAGCGACAGCACATCTGAGCACACATGCGTCGCTTTTGGCCGCTTCTGCACATGTGCGTGACGTCATTTTGAGCGCATGTGCAAGCGGCGAAACCCGGAAGTAACACGCTCTGTTACTTCCGGGTTGCCGCAGAGCGCAACTCGAACGAGCTCAACATGAAGCATATTCAACCCGAGGTATGACTGTACAGTGGTACCTCAGGTTACATACACTTCAGGTTACATACGCTTCAGGTTACAGACTCCGCTAACCCAGAAATAGTGCTTCAGGTTAAGAACTTTGCTTCAGGATGAGAACAGAAATCGTGCTCCGGCGGCGCGGCGGTGGCAGGAGGCCCCATTAGCTAAAGTGGTGCTTCAGGTTAAGAACAGTTTCAGGTTAAGTACACCTGAATGGCAGATGAAGTTGATGGACTGCATGGAACTGGCGGAAATGACTGGCAGAATCCGAGACCAGGGAGAAGAGTTGGTGGAAGAAGAGTGGAAAAAATTGAAAGTATATTTACAGAAATATTGTAAAATTAATGAATGTTAGAAGGATGCTGGAAAGAAGTTAGATGGCTTTAGTAGAAATGTTATTAAGAATTAAGGAAGAATAGATTGATAATGGGTAAAGGTGTAAAATTCAAGGCTAAATTGTGTTAAGACAAATTATGGAACTAAATTTGAGAAAGAGGGAAAGGACTTGCCGAAACAATTAATTGAACTAGAATACAAAAAAGGGAGGTGTGAGGAAGTCAAGGAAATAAGCAAATAAAAGATAAGGTCATGAAAATATTGGTTTTTTGTTTTTTAATGTTTTTGATGTACTGTTGTTGCTTTTTCTTACTGTATTTTTCTTTTTTTAATTTATTTTTGAAGTTTTGTAACCTTTTATTGTTTGTTTTTCTTTTTTCTGTATTTGTTAAACTCTAATAAATATTTTTTTTTTAAAAAAAAGAACAGTTTCAGGTTAAGTACAGACCTCTGGAACGAATTAAGTACTTAACCAGAGGTGCCACTGTATTTTAAATGCATCTCTGGGTTATTTGTGGGGCATAGGAATTAATTCATCCCCCCCCAATATAGTCCGGCCCCCCACAAGGTCTGAGGGACAGTGGACCAGCCCCCTGCTGAAAAAGTTTGCTGGCGCCTGTGTGGAGAGAGGCAGCCTTTCTCTCTCTTTCTCTCTCTCATATCATGCTAAAACCTTATCTTTCTATTCTGAACTCCAACCCTTGGCCCAGATCAAGACCTTCAGGGGCCTGAAATACTGGAAATATTACAGCGCCCGCCTCCATAGGCAACCCAGTACAAATCAGAATTAATCCACTGTGAAGACTATATCCGTAATAATTAATATTTATGATTGATTCCATTTTTGCTTCTTGCACCAAAAATGGAAGCAAAAAGAATTACCGTCGATTGAAGAATGGAGGATGAAGTTAATGGAGGATGAAGTCGCAGTTTCCCATGCCTCCCCGAGTCGCAATTTCCCATGTTTCCCCGAATCGCAGTTTCCCATGTTTCCCCGAGTCGCAATTTCCCATGTTTCCCTGAGTCGCAATTTCCCATGCTTCCCCGAGTCGCAGTTCCCAATGCTTTCCCAAGTCGCAGTTTCCCATGCTTCCCCGAGTCGCAGTTCCCCATGTTTCCCCCAGTCGCAGTTTCCCATGCTTCCCCGAGTCACAATTTCCCATGTTTCCCCGAGTCGCAATTTCCCATGCTTCCCTGAGTCGTAGTTCCCAATGCTTTCCCAAGTCGCAATTTCCCATGCTTCCCCCAGTCGCAGTTTCCCATGCTTCCCCTCCCCGAGTCGCAGTTTCCCATGCTTCCCCAAGTCGCAATTTCCCATGCTTCCCTGGGTCGTAGTTTCCCATGCTTCCCCCAGTCTCAATTTCCCATGCCTCCCCGAGTCACAATTTCCCATGCTTCCCCGAGTCGCAATTTCCCATGCTTCCCTGAATCGCAGTTTCCCATGCTTCCCCAAGTCGCAATTTCCCATGCCTCCCCAGGTCGCAGTTTCCCACGCCTCCCGGAGCCCTTCGCAGAGAATGCCGCCCCCTGACGCCTCCGCAGAGTCTCACCCTTTCCCCTTTTGCCCGTGTCGTTTCAAACAGAGGACCAGCTGCCTTCGGGCTTCCCCATCATCGACATGGGACCCCAGCTGAAAGTGGTGGAGCGCACCAGGACCGCCACCATGCTCTGCGCGGCCAGTGGGAACCCAGATCCAGAGATCACGTGGTTCAAAGATTTCCTGCCCGTCGACCCCAGCGCCAGCAACGGAAGGATAAAGCAGCTGAGATCAGGTGAGGCGAACTGGTCGGCTTGGTGGGGCAGGTGATGCTTCGGTCAAGATCCTGCTCAGACATTCGTGTGTCGTCTGCAGAGTAAACCACACTCTGTGCCAGAGGATTGGGAGATCGCAAGGTCTTATATATATGTATTTATTGCGTCCATATATTCTCCAGCGGGCTCAAGGTGGCATCCCACCTTGTCTGAGAGGCAGCGACTGGCCCCCAGGGAGATCCATAGCCTAGTGGGGATTTGAACCCTGATCTCCCAGGTCCGGGTCTGGGTCTGGCATTCTCACCACTAGGCTAGCACTGCCTCTTTCAGGAATAATAATAATAATTTATTATTTATACCCCGCCCATCTGGCTGGGTTTCCAATAAAACACCAAAATACAATAACCTATTAAACATTAAAAGCTTCCCTAAACAGGGCTGCCTTTATATGTCTTTGGTAGTTGTTTTTCTCTTTGACATCTGGTGGGAGGGTGTTCCACAGGGCGGGTGCCACTACCAAGAAGGCCCTCTGCCTGGTTCCCTGTAGCTTTGCTTCTCGCAGGGAGGGAACCGCCAGAAGGCCCTCGGCGCTGGACCTCAGTGTCTGGGCAGAATGATGGAGTGGAGACACTCCTTCAGATATACTGGACCGAGGCCGTTTAGGGCTTTAAAGGTCAGCACCAACACTTTGAATTGTGCTTGGAAACGTCCTGGGAGCCAGTGCAGATCTTTCAAGACTGGTGTTATATGGTCCCGGTGGCCACTCCCAGTCCCCAGTCTAGCTGCCACATTCTGGATTAGTTGCAGTTTCTGGGTCACCTTCAAAGGTGGCCCCACATAGAGCGCATTGCAGTAGTCCAAGCGAGAGATAACCAGAGCATGCACTAATCTGGTGTGACAGTCTGCGGGCAGGGAGGGTCTCATCCTGCGTACCAGATGGAGCTGGTAGACAGCTGCCCTGGACACAGAATTGACCTGCGTCTCCATACATACAGTGCGTAACATGCGCTGTATGTTAAGCATGCAAGTATCTGGAAAAGTTAACTTTACCCAGCTGGGCACACTTGCAGTTTTGCCAGAATTCGGCTGCATTTAAATGGCCTTTGCCAGGGTTAAGTGTTACAAACCCACTTGTGTGAATGTTTGTGGCAGTTTGGAAGCTAGGGTGACTGCTCGTGCGATGTTTTGAGGGACGTCGTGGGCCCAGGACCCTGCTGCCGCTATCTGGGCTTTGTGACTGGAGTAACGGATGTAGAAACGACCACATGAAATTCTGAGTCATTTGTTGGGTCTTTTCCATCCTCTCATTTTTCAGGACTGCTTGCCTCCCGTCTCTTATATCAAGGGATGGATGAATCTGTGTCGGTTTCCATTTCTTATAACCTTAAATTCAGTTCTCCACGCTTATTTTTTCATTCATTTATTTATCGCATTTATAGATACCGCCTTTCCCCCCAAAGAGCTCAAGGTGGTGCAAAAGGTTCTCCAAACCCAATTTATCCTCACAGTAACCCTGCGAAGTAAGTTAGGCTGAGAGGTGGTGACTGCTGCAAGGTCACACACAAAGAGCTTCATGGCAGAGTGTGCTGGTCCCGGGGGGAAGGTTACTGTTATCGTAGTCAAAGTTCAGTCCTGAGTCACTAGCCTGGTAATAGTCCACAAGGTGCGAGGCGAGATCCGAAGCAGGGAGCCGGGCGGGGAACAGGAACACTGGAGGAACAGGACTGGATGCTGGCCGAAACAGCTCTTCAATGACGACGTTGCTCCCGCAACCTGGGACCGGGCTGACTGGCCTTTATCTTCTCTAAGGCCAGGGGCGGTCCCGGCCCCCAGGAGCCCCGCCTCTCCTGGCCTTAAGGTGAGCACTCCTCCTGGGAGAAACCAGTTCCCTTCGCCTCTCTGCCCTAAGCCTCTGCAGTTCAGGAGAGGCCGAAGGGTTACTGGGCGCCGGGGGAGGCTCACCTGTAGACACTGAGTCCTCAAGCACCTCTGGGGCCAGAATGGTTTCACCTGGTGCCTGCTCCTGAGGATCTGGCACAGGTGCAGGCTCCTCAGAATCTAGGCCTTGCCCCAGTTCAGCTGGCCCTGGAGGCGGGGACTCCTGTGCCGGCTGGGATTCCTCCAGTTCACTCTCAGAATCGGAATCCCAGGCCATCACACCGAGTGAGGATTCGAACCCAGCTTCTCCCGGGTCCTGCTCCAACCCTCTAACCAACACACTAAGCGGCATGCCACATTACACAGCGCACAGGGTGTGCTGCCCAAACAGATCAAAGAACGGTAGAGTTGGAAGGGGTACACCCAAAGGACATCTAGTTCAACCCTTCTGAGGTGCAGGAATCGCTGCAGGTGAGGCCCCTGCTTCCACCTGTCCGTTTACCTGCCCTTCAGTTAATTTTGAGTTGCGGTTTTGTGTCTCGTGATGTGTTTCCATGTGGCTTTGCGTTCAGAGTTGTTTCCTCGTTCCCTCCCCTGGTTGTGTGTTGTGTAACTGTGTTTGTGTGCGTTTAGCTTTGGGGTGTCGGCCGCTCTTGGTTCCAAAACGGAGACCTCCTTGTTTCCTTTTTGTATGGCTAAAGAAAGCCATGTTTTGCAGAGTTGGGACAGCCATCTCTGATGGATGCTTTTGTTGAGATTCCTGCATGGAAGTGGGTTGGATGAGATGGTGCTTCAACTCTCAGATTCTATGATTCTGCACTATTTTGCTTCCCAGTTGCAATCTCCAAAAAGGGACGCGGGTGGCGCTGTGGGTTAAACCAGGGGTCTGCAACCCGCAGCTCCGGAGCCGCATGTGGCTCTTTTACACCTTTGCCGCGGCTCCGGGGCGGATACTAGCGAGGGGAGGAGGCGCATTGTGCGCCCCAACACTCCCCACTGTGGCGGGCGCTGTACTGGCTGTGACGTCACATGGGGGCGGTGCGTGCGTTAGTCACACACCGTCCCGACGTCACCTTCCCGCCCACCGCCCGCTACATTGAAAGGGGCATGTACGCTGGTCACTGCATTGAAAGGGGGCATGTACGCTGGTCACTGTTTTGAAGCGGAGTGAAGAACACACACACACAAAAAGGTAACTTGTTAATTTAACGTTTATTTCTATGAGGAGGAGTAATTCTGAGGGGTCAAACAAAGAAATAATAAAAAAGTGACAAAAAAGTTATTTTTATAATGACGAGTTTTGCGGCTCCCAGTTTTTTTTTCTTCGGAAACGGGTCCAAGTGGCTCTTTTTGTCTTAAAGGTTGCAGACCCCTGGGTTAAACCACAGAGCCTAGGACTTGCCAATCAGAAGGTCAGCGGTTCGAATCCCCACAATGGGATTGAAGGAATGGGTTTCCAAACCCATTGGTTTTGACCAACCCAAATGGTTGCAGAAATGAAGGAATGGGTTTCCAAAACCCAAAAACTGACTGTGCAGGCAGTTTTTAAACTGCACCAAAATCCCCATTTCTCCTTAGCTAAAATGCATAAACTTCAGCCGTTGAGCAAATGCAAAACAAGAACACAGCTCTCTCCCTCATCAGTTTGACGGCAAGACTGGCCTTGACTCTACCAGTAGAACAGACACAGACATATCTTATGTTCTGACCACAAATGATGCAGAGACCCAAGTCTGGGACTAACGCCAGAGCATGTTCTCGGAAGTAGTGACCTCTTGCTCCAAGATAGGAGTAGGAACAGAAATATCCTTTTATGGTCAGGAGTGCAGGAAGGAAATCCCTTTTAAGGTTAAGAGTGCCAGAGCAGGAACATATGTGATGTCAACCCGCGTACATAGGCTGACGTGGTTGGGCTCTGAGGGGAGGAGGGAGAGGGTGCCTGGAGGATATAAATACTGCATGAAACTTGTCATTTCTTTGTACTTGCTGTGGACTCACCACACAGGTGCCTTCTGCTATCCGGAGAGCAGAATAAACTCTTTCTTTGAACCAACTCGGTGTCATTTTGACTTCCTTCCTCCTGTCACGGAGCAACGCAGACCCAATCGGTGAACTCCAATAAGGCTACAGGATGAGCTCCCATTGTTCGGTCCCAGCTCCTGCCAACCTAGCAGTTCGAAAGCACGACATACAAGTAGATAAATAGGTACCGCTCCGGAGGGAAGGTAAATGGCATTTCCATGCGCTGCTCTGGTTTGCCAGAAGCGGCTTAGTCATGCTGGCCACATGACCCGGAAGCTGTACGCCGGCTCCCTCGGCCAACAAAGCGAGATGAGTGCTGCAACCCCAGAGTCGTCCACGACTGGACCTAATGGTCAGGGGTCCCTTTACCTTTACCTTCCCTTGCAATCTCCAAACACGAGTGCTCTGCTTGCAAAAAGAGATCCTGAACAGGTGGCCAGCAGAGATGAACCCCATACATTTAAAGCACTTAGCTCCCCCTACTCTGCTAAAATCCTGAGTACTGTAGTTTAGCTCCTCAGAAAGTTATACTTCTCTGCACCCTTCACAAACTGCATTCTGGATTAGTTGTAGTTTCCAAGTTACCTTCCAAGGATAGACCCACGTAGTGCGCACTGCAGTAGTCCAAGCAGGAGATAACTAAAGCATGCACCACTCTGGCAAGACAGTGCGCAGGCAGGGAGGGTCTCAGCCAGTGTAGATAGCTGCCCTGGACACAGACCTGACCTGCGCCTTATATTCAGGCCAATACGGTATATGCAGCTATCGGTTTGCAACAATAGTACCTTGAAGCCATACAATAAAAAATATATATAGAAAGTTAAAATCAGAAATCAGCTAGCCATTGTGGAAAGACATGTTCCCTGCATAGGCCTGACAGAATCAAAACGTTTGGTGCAGGCCGCCTGCTGGCTCTCCAGTGGCAGGCAGTTCCACAAGACTGTACCGATGGCAATAAAGTTTCTTGCTGCTGTCAGAGGAGCCTCACCAACTGAGGGGAATTTCCGGTGTTGCTCCTGCAGGTGATCTCGGCGATCCAGCTGGGATGTAAGGGCTGAGGGAGTCCCTGAGTTACACTGAACCCAGAGAATTTGGATTTGATATTCCGCTTTATCACTACCCGAAGGAATCTCAAAGCAGCTAACATTCTCCTTCCCTTCCTGCCCCACAACAAACACTCTGTGAGGTGAGTGGGGCTGAGAGACTTCAGAGAAGTGTGACTGGCCCAAGGTCACCCAGCAGCTGCATGTGGAGGAGCGGGGAAGCGAACCTGATTCCTCAGATTACGAGACTACCGCTCTTAACCACTACACCACACTGGCTCCCAGGTGGATTAGGGCTTCACAGAACCATAGCATTATAGAGTTGTTGGACGGGACCCCCAAGGGCCATCAAGTCCAACCCCGTGCAATGCAGGAGCCACAGTTAGATTGGCACGAAGGCCTCAAACCCGACTCTCGTCTCACAGTGGCAACATGAACCTGCCCTTTGTTCCGACGTCACTGCGGGAACGTTTAGGATTGGAGGAGGAAACCTGTGCACCTCTCTCAAGGCCCCGTTTAAAAGCCCGTTTCTGCAGGGCAGCAGACCCCCGTGTGGCGAGCCGAGGTTAGCAGCACCCGGCAAACAAACAGCCCTTCTGCAAACCAGCCTGCCAGGCGGCAAGCCGCCCCCCTCCCGTCGGAAACTCTGCCTGCGTTGGAATTTCTGGAAGCCTGACAACCGCCTAATTTGTCCTCTCCCTTTTCGCTTTCCTTTCTGGCATGAGTTAGCCGTCTTGCTTAATGGGTGGCCGGAGTTGATTCATTCCTTTCGTTGCCTCCCACTCTCTTTCTCTCTCCTGCCCCCCGCCCCAGCGCGAACCGCTGCATTTTGCATTCTGGCAGGTCCAAGATTTCATTAAAACGAGTGCTTTGTGCAAAAAGTGCTTTGAAACGCTGCCAGTCCCTGCACGTTAAAACGTTCCGTTTTGAGGAATGCCGTTTTAATTAAGAACGCCAGGAGAAGCCTGAATCTGGATCAGACCAAAGCGGTGTGTGTGTGTGTGTGTGTGTGTGTGTGCATGAGAGGGGCGCCTAGTCCAGCATCCTGTTCTCCCAGAGGCCAAACAGATTCCCCAAATCAGAAAACTCCATTTGTGAGTCCCAGAAACTGATGCGCAGAAGCACTTAACTGTCTCTGATCCTGGAGGGAAATCCTATCCATCAATACTGGTGGTCATGAATACTTTTACACACACACACCCCATGAATTCGTCCAATCCTCATCTCAATTGGTGGCGATCATAGAGTTGTAAAGATGGAAGGGCCCCCCAGAGTCATCTAGTCCAACCCCTGCTATGCAGGAATCTTTTCCCCCAACGTGGGGCTCGAAACCCACAACCCTGAGATTAAGAGTCTTCACCTCGGTCCACCCCACCCCAATATTTCTGGTGGCGTCAATGCAAGTAAACTCTACTACAGTGGACGCTCGGGTTGCGAACGTGATTCGTGCAGGTTCGCAACCCGCAGCCTTCGCAACCCGCTACAACCTCTGCTTTAGACCTCTGAACTAACAGTAGCATTAAATCAAAGGAACATTTGTTAAGAATGGCTATCCATTTCTGTTTCAACTCAATGTCATTAACAAATAAGGTTGGCGCTTTCTGCAATCTTAGGCCCCCCCCCCCCCCCCGGGTATGTGGCTAGATTTAAGATAATTGGAGAGTGAAGAGGCACGAAATTCATAGCGAATCTTGCGCTTCTGTGCATTAAGAAGTTGTGGAAAATCCACGTTAGAAGGACCTGTATCAAAATCCAGTGCAGGTACATCACAGAGAATGTCCTCAGAATCCTTGTCAGAAAAGGCCCATTTGGCTATGGACTTTCAGAGACTTTGAGTCTTAAGATTTCATTTTGAACTTGTTATTGTTTGAAAGAATTCTATAAAGATTGTCTATTACGTATGTATGTGACGTTCCCACCAGTTATCAGCACCCAGCCAGTCCACAACATCTGTAAGGGGACGGGGGGGGGTCTGTGATGGGTGCTGGTGGGGCCTCACGTCTCCGCCAGCTAAGCCCAGCCAGGACCCTCCTGACAGCAGAAGAGACCCCCCCTCCAATGTCTTTTCCCCATTGAACTTGAGAAAGCTTTAGTGTGAGTCTTCTCAAAACGGAGGAAAGACGCCAGACTTAATTTTGACAGGCCTGGGAAGGTCGGTTTTTGTGCATGTGTTTGTTGTGGCGGTGCAGAGATGACTATTTGCACTTCAGGAGGGAGAGAGGGGTGCTCTGTGGTGTTTGCCGGTTGCAAGCCTCAAAGCTTGTGCTAGCCACAGGCGACTCGTGAGGAAGAGCAGAAGACCTCGCGCAGACTGGACGTTTGCATCGCGCGAACACCAGGCCTAGTGTTCCCAAAGGGTGCCTGATAGCATGCTTGGAGGGAGAGTGGCCCTCCAACCACCCCACAAAATGGCCAACATGGTGAATGCTCCATGTTGCTTCTCTGTGTGAGTCCCTGGCCTGGTGCCTTCCTCTTTTGAGTATGCCATCCCCCCAATCACTGGCTCATGCAGAGACGCGGCGGTGAGAGTGCGGCTGTTTCTCCCCTCCAATAACTCTCAAAGTAAACCTTTTCAGAAGGTAAGGATGAACTGTGTCTCCAGTTCTCGTTTGGGGAGGCGGTGGGGAACCTCAGCTGTCATGTCTGGGAATCAATGTCTAAACTTCTGTATGTGATAACCTCTGTCTTATCTATGTTCTGTCCTGTGTTGGGTTCGTTGGCTTTGGTTTTTTTTGGAAATATTTATTTTAAAAGTAACTGGCTTATAACCACACTTTTAATTTTTTTCCCCTTTTCTGTTTCCTTTTTAATTTTATTTCACTCAGACACCTTTGGTAAGTGTGCTTTCCACATAAATCAAGTCAATTCTTCATTTTCTTAAATATTAGTAGTTCTTTTTTAAAAAAATTGACAACCAGTCAACCCCAAACCTGTTGCCTGCCCCACCCTCCTCCCACCCTAAAAACTAATTCCTTCTTTTAACAGCTTCCCACACCCCTTACAAATGTAGGCATGCGGCTTGACTCTTCTACTAACGCCTTTATTTCAGTAGGGATATTCTGCCATTTTTAACAAAACCTTTGTGACCTGGGAGGTTGTCGTAGGCACCTAAAAGCAAAAATTACCGGCGTCTCAAACCTCATGGCTGTTTACAAGGAAAAGAAGAAAATGCAAACTCTTCCAAAATTAGGTAAATTGGGTAGTTATAAAATAAAGTCGTCCTGGAATCCCCACTAACACAATATGATGAGCTACCTTAAAACTGCATCGTGTCTCATTTTGCCCCCGCCCACAAACTGATTTGGAGCTTGGAGTTTCAAATTTAACAACTGTGTGTTAGAAATTTCCTGGAAACCGCAAGGTGGTTGGGGAGGCAGGAATCCCTGAAATAAAATTAAAAGTTGTGCTCTGTCCAGACGAGGCACTGAGACAACTTCCTAGTTTCGCTTTCCCTGTTTGCTACGGTGGAGAGTCTGAGGCAGGGGTCAGCAAACTTTTTCCCCAGTGGGCACAGTCCCTTAAATCTTTCGGAGGGCCAGACCACATGCGCGCACACACACAGCCAATTGGCAGAGAGCGGGGAGCTAGAGGGAGCTGGCCGGGGGTAAACCAGGCACGTCCCGCCTCCGAGCCCACGGGAAGGGCAGGTGCGCTCACCTGTCTCGGCAGCGGCCGGCCCAGCCCTCTCCACCCAGGTGCTCCAGCTCTGCCCCGTGAAGTCATTGAGATTCGGCAACCACTGGTCCACAGCAGCCATTGCTGCTGCTGCTACCACCGTTGCGCATCTACGCACCGCCATCACCGCACGGGAACGCGCAGTCCTCCCCTCTGGCCGCGGCCCAGTGCGCAGGTAAACCAGGTGCATCGTTTGATTGGCAACAGGAGGCAGAGGCATCTGATTGGCAGAGACGTCCCCGCGCCACGCTGAGGTAAACCAAGTACGGCGTCTGATCAGCAGAGCCGCCGCCACTCGGCCTCTTCCTCCCATCGCCATCACCGGAAGTCTCGGCCCGTGCGGCCATTTAAGAACCCGGTTGCTGCGGAAGGAAGAGGCTGAGCAGCGGCAGATCTGCCGATCAGACGCCACACCTGGTTTACCTCAGCATGGCGCAGGGACGTCTCTGCCAATCAGACATCACTGAGGTAAACCAGGCACCGTGTCTGATCGGCTGCTCAGCCTCCTCCTCCTGTCACCATCGCCGGTAGTCTCTGCCCACGCGGCAGGTTCTTAAATGGCTGCTCGGGCTGGATTCGGGATCTGCTCGGGCCAGATTTGGCCCGGGGGCCGTAGTTTGCCGACCCCTGGTCTAAGGACTACGACTCCCAAGCACTTCCGGCGGGTAGTCTCAAGGTACTCTACATTTTTTTATATCAGACATATAACATTTTATCAGCTCAGACATATACGATTTGCAATAAAATACTTGAGTTTGCTTATCTTCTCCTCCCTCCCAATGCATTTTCCTTTGGCGTTGTGGTGGTTTGTTTTTTTTTTAAGATTCCGACCCTGAAGGAAGCGCCTGGCTTTTCTTTAAGTAAGCCACTCTGGGGGTCTTCCTTTCTGGCCGAGTAGCTAGCCCATTTGCGAAGCTAAGCAGGGTCTGCTATGGTTTCAGATAAACAAGCTACAGCACCTGTTGTACTCCAGCCTGCCCCTTTGGCTTACTAATGGATGGGCTAAAGGAAGAGCCCCCCGCCAGGGAGTTGAGAATCCATCCCCGCCATAGAGTCCAGTGTGACTGCTGATTCCTGATGAATGCAGGGGGGCAGGGGTTGGACTGGATGACCCTTGGGGTCCCATCCAGCTGCACAGCTCTCTGATTCTACAATTGCCTTGTAACTGGCTCAGTCTTTTAAGAAGGGGGTCCAGGAGTAAAACAAACTCCTTCCTTGCTTTCCTGCTTTGGGAGCTCTCGGCCTGGTCTCGATTCACAAAGTCTCCCTTTAAATTATGGACTTTGTTTACTTGCCAGATGCCACCACTGCCTGCCCACCAAATAAAAATGTCCGGTCTATTGCCCCAGAAGCAAAGTTCTGGGCAATTGCGACAATATACTGTTCAGGAGGGACGCGGGTGGTGCTGTGGGTTAGGACTTGCCGATCAGAACGTCGGCGGTTCGAATCCCCGCAACGACTGGGTGAGCTCCCGTTGCTCGGTCCCTGCTCCTGCCAACCTAGCAGTTCGAAAGCACGTCAAAGAGGAAGTAGATAAATAGGTACCACTCCAGCGGGAAGGTAAACGGCGTTTCCGTGCGCTGCTCTGGTTCGCCAGAAGCGGCTTAGTCATGCTGGCCACATGACCCGGAAGCTGTACGCTGGCTCCCTCGACCAATAAAGCGAGATGAGCGCCGCAACCCCAGAGTCGGGTCACGACTGGACCTAATGGTCAGGGGTCCCTTTACCTTTACCTTTACTGTTTGGTAGTATTTGGGGAAAGCAGGAACTCTTCTCTAAATCAATTTGTTCCTGTACTAGAGGGGGTCGTCTACAGCTCTGTCTCCTTCCCCACCTTGCAAATATTCTCCAGCTTCTTAGATGTGAAACTCCAACAGGTTTTTTAAAAAATAAAAATCTGCCACCTGTGCCCTGTCATCCTGGTTTATTCCCCTCCCCCCTCATAAATTTTCCTTCTGATCCCACCCCCAGTAGTTTAAATAACTCTTCAAGATGAGCCAAGCCAGGCATGCCCATTAGAACTTCCACCTGGCGTTGCTGCAATTCAGGGCTAGCGCGTGGCAACTGCTGCCTGATGCGACTCCTTGTGCAACACCGTCTAGGTGTTGGCGAAGCATCCCTTCCACATACAAACCCCTGAGGGGGAAGAATGCGAGTTTAGGGGGTTCAAGGCAGGCTTCTGTGGCGCACAGATCTCTTCCCTCCAGAGAGGAAGAGAACTAGGATGAACAGCCACTGCTGATGCCAGTATCTGCTGCCTAAAGGTGGCTGGGTCATTTCCCCTAATGGTAGGGCCGGCCTTACTGTAATGGAGTATTAAGGGCAAATTTGCCTAATGGTAGGGCCGGCCTTACTGGAATGAAATCTCGAGGGAGAGAAAGGTTTTTCTAAAAAGTGTTCATCAGCGTTACACAGGGGTCAGCAAACTTTTTCAGCAGGGGGCTGGTCCACTGTCCCTCAGACCTTGTGGGGACGACGACTATATTTTGAGGGGAAAATAAATGAACGAATTCCTATGCCCCACAAATAACCCAGAGATGCATTTTAAATAAAAGGACACATTCTACTCAGCTAAAAACAGGCTGATTCCTGGACCGTCTGCGGGCCGGATTTAGAAGGCAATTGGGCCGGATCTGGCCCCCGGGCCTTAAGTTGCCTTCCCATGGCGTTACATGTAAAATTTGACCGGGAGCAGCAAAACTGGGAGCACATCCCATTCACAGGGAAATAGGATGCAGGTATAGACCCCAGTTGGGACACCGGTGGCGCTGTGGGTTAAACCACAGAGCCTAGGGCTTGCCAATCAGAAGGTCGGCGGTTCAAATCCCCGTGACGGGGTGAGCTCCCATTGCTTGGTCCTTGCTCCTGCCAACCTAGCAGTTCGAAAGCATGTCAAAGTGCAAGTAGATAAATAGGTACCGCTCCGGCGGGAAGGTAAATGGTGTTTCCGTGCGCTGCTCTGGTTCGCACATGACCCGGAAGCTGTACGCCGGCTCCCTTGGCCAGTAAAGCGAGATGAGCGCCACAACCCCAGAGTCGTCCATGACTGGACTTAACGGTCAGGGACTGGACTTAACAGTCAGGGGTCCCTTTACTTTTATAGACCCCAGTTTTCTGACCTGAAGGCAGGGCAAGAGGGTGGCAACCTGGATATTCACAAAGACTATCAACACAAGCCATCACTGGGGTTGCACTGGTTTGCAGCGGTGATGGTTTTTGGCTATGCCAGTTGGACACCGCCATTTTGGGACTGGGGGCCCCTCTTTCCTCTCCCCCCAGACCCACGTTTGATGTCCCCCCCGAATGCCCTCGTAGGCGCCAGATAATTTGTTCCTATTGCAAATAATTGTTGTGTGGCCTTTCAAGTGAGTCAGACCCCCATAGACCAGCAGTGCGCCCCCCCTTCTCCCCACTGGTCCTGTCCCCGCATTACTCCAGATTGTTGTCACAGATGGCAGATTTTTGCATGTGTTTTGTTTCCAGGCCTGATTTTCTGAGACGGAAAGATGAGTTCAAGGCTGTTCTATTTCCACTGAATAAATCCACAACCCTCTGCTAATTTTCCCCTCTTCTCTCCCTCGCTTTCTCTCTCTCGCTCGCTCGCTGCCTTTTTTAAAACCACCCAGCTGCTCCTCTGCAGAGATTTGCCCAAATTAACGCTCCCCTCCCTTTCCTTACTCCTTTTCATTTATTTCCAAACTGTGTCCCCCAGCGAGCATACCTTGCTTTGATTAACATTAACTAGCTAGTAACCTTAACTAGACGCTAACTAATGCCTTTCTGTAGATTCCCGTTTTTTGTAACCTGTTCTTCAGCCAGAAACTGGCTCTCTCTAACTAGAACCTTAACCAGCTTTAACCAAATAACATCTCGCCCTTTCCCCACCCAGCTGACACTAACTAATCATAATAACTAGGTGGTTTATTTTACCCCTATCCTGAAAACAGGGCACATTCATCTAGGAAGTTTGGGGTGGGAAGAGTATTAGAGACATTTAAACTCTTAAAAAAGAAAGCCGGTTATTTGAGGGCGGACGTAGAGGTTTCAGCGAGATTCCTCTGCTGCAGACATTGATGATGTTTGGCAAGACCGGGGAATGCCAATATTTGGAGATTCTGCAAAGGGGGAGTTTTTTGGACTTGAAAGAATGGGCCGTGCTTTGCAAAACCTGCTCTGTTTTCAGGATCAGAGTAAAACCCTAGAGATCTTCTTACGATAATACATTTCTTGACTGAGATGTGCAGCAATCTCTTGGAAAGCCAGTGGGGGCCAGGGAGGGGGGGGAAGGATCCTGCAATTTTAGGAGGAAGGCTTTTTGAACCCAAACCTTGAGGAGAACGCCCATGAAGCTATTTGGACTGGGTTCAATGCTGGATGTCCATTTCGACCCATCCTCGGAGGATAACAGTTCCTCTGAGCATGTGGAGAGTGGCTAACCTTGTTGTCCCATGGTTTGTAGCAAGCTGCCTCTTTCCAAGTCAGTCTGCTTACCCACCCGGGCCATTGTTCTCTGCTCGGACAGGCAGCAGCTACGAGTTTAGTGCAGCGAAGGGTTCCTTTTAAGCAGAGATTGACTGACGAAAAGCTGCCATTTTATAACATTGCCCAGAATTGTCTGATTGGCAGAAGCCTTTCCTATTTAACTGCTTCCTGACCCATAGTTGTTGACCAGTGAGATGGCCGGTATTGAGCCTGGGACGTTCTACCTGCCAAGCAGCCGCACTAGACCATCAGGCGTTGGCTCCTCCCCATTGATGCTTTCCTGGGCGACCAACGGCGTCCGCAGCTGTTGCCTTCCTGATTGGCCGAAGTGAACATGAAATCATCCATTCAGAATTTTAAGTACTGTATTTTCGCTCTATAAGACGCACCAGACCACAAGACGCCCCCTAGTTTTTGGAGGAGGAAAACAAGAAAAAAAATATTCTGAATCTCAGAAGCCAGAACAGCGAGAGGGATCGCTGCGCAGCGAAAGCAGCGATCCCTCTTGCTGTTCTGGCGTCTGTGATAGCTGCGCAGCCTGCATTCGCTCCATGAGACGCACACACATTTCCCCTTACTTTTTAGGAGGAGAAAAGTGAGTCTTATAGAGCAAAAAATACGGTACTTCTACATCTCTCAGCCCACTCAAAATAGGACAGCGTTAGAGATTCTCCAAACCTTCCTTCTCCTCAGGGTCCTTTCTCCCACTGGCAAGTCCAGGGAAACGAAAAACAAACAAAATTAAAACTCCCACTATTTCCCTCCCCGCTCGTTTTCACTTCTGTTTTGTTTTTCTTTTTTCTTTTGTTTTTCCTTGCAGAAGGTACTCCGATCCGAGGTAAGAAAACACCCTCCGTAAATGCACACAAAACACCTGCCCCCCACGGCGCTCACTTTCCCCGATAGCCTATTTGCCACCTCAACCTCTCGATTATAACCAGTTCTTGTTCCGTGTTAGTTGTGTGGTTTTTGATTTATTTTTTTAAAAAAAAATTAATAACAATCTTGGAGTTTTGTCACTGTTGTGGGTGTTTATTTACTGTCCTGCCTCTTGTCCTGTCTTCTGTGACTTCACCCCCACCCCCACCCCATTTATTTCCTCCCCTCAATTCTGCATTTATTTTCAATACGTGTATAATTCTCTTTCTTCCTTGGCTGGATGGATGGAACTGGCCGCTGTGTCTGTCGGGGCCAAGGGAGGAAGATTTCCCAAGGTCCTCTAGGGGCCAGGGGAGGACGACTTCCCAAGCTCCCCGCCACACTTGCAATTTATGATGTGGGCTCAAACATAGCGTCAAGAAGCACCGAAGGTGTATTTCTGGTTTTCCTTGCGGTTCCTAAGACTATTATAAAATCACTCCCGTTATTAAATCCTTTCTCCTTCACAGTCCACAAAAGTGGTAAGGTTTAATTTGAACCCGAAACGGTTGTCCGGAACACGTGAATTGGGAAATTAATGCAATTGTATTTGTATTTTCTGGTAAAAATGGAGGGGGGGGAGGAGGAAAATATATCTCAAATGTCTTAAGAGAAGCTCTGCTGGATCAGACCAAGGATAATAATTTACCTCTGGAAATACCTCTGGAAAGCCTACAGTGTTCCTCTCCCACTGTTGGTCTCTAGCAACAGTGCCTCTGAACATGGTCTGTTTCACCATTGATAGACTTATCCTTTTGTGGGGTCTTGGACAGAGGTCTGTAAAGCTAGGGGACAGAGGGTGGAGAATATGGACAAAGAGGATGTTCATCCTCCTCCTCTCCAGGAGTGACCAGCGCCACCTGCTATCTCTGCCGCCTCTGCTGATTTTGTGATGAAGTTAGAGGGTTCGCCTGAGCCGAGAGAGCGCATTATAAGCCTTTGAAGTTGTGTGGCACCTCTTAGTTTTCTGGCTCGCATTTTTCTACATGGAGAGCTCGGTTTATGCAAATTCCTGCATCGGGCTGCAGTCTGGCATGTACATAGCACTAAGCACTGCGTGCACGACTGTTTGGTTTGCACACTCCTCAACCCCCGTCTCTTTCCCGGAGGAGATTGGAAACATCTGTTTCCAGTTTGAACTCACTGCACAGTTAGTAGGCAAGATGTCTGAGTCGGGGCAGAGTGTGGCAAGCGTTCATTTTAACTATGGTTTGTTGAAACAAATCAACTTCAGGCACTGGTTGATGTCCCTGGCTTGCCCAGATAAACTATGGTTGCTGCCAAACTAGCCACACTTCCCATGCCTGACCTTTGAAAAACGTAAACCATGGTTAACACTAACTACACTTCCCAGGTCTAAACTATGGAACACGTAAACCATGGTTAACACTAACCACACTTCCCAGGTCTAAACTATGGGACACATAAACCATGGTTAACACTAACCACAGTTCCCAGGTCTAAACTATGGGACACATAAACCATGGTTAACACTAACCACAGTTCCCAGGTCTAAACTATGGAACACGTAAACCATGGTTAACACTAACCACACTTCCTGGATCCAAACTCTGGAGTAGATAAACCATGGTTAACATTAACCACAGTTTCCAGCTCTGGTGTTCAGAGCAGATAAACCATAGTTAGCATTAACAACTTTTCTCAGGCGCAACAATCGAAACATGCATCTGCGCCAGAGGAGGAGAGAGAGCTTGAGAATCGTACGCTGGCTGGGGAGAGCTGTAATGTAAGATCATAGATAGATAGATAGATAGATAGCTAGGGAGCTATCGATGGTGGGAGAAGAATGAATAATGTGAACCAAGCCCATGTCCGCAAGTGGGAACCAGTTCTCACGCATTACCTGTGCTATGCGAACAAGAGCAGGCTGGGGTCACAATCCTCCGTGCCCTTACTAGCGAGTAAGTCCCACTGAGCCCAGCTGGTGACTAAGCCTCCTCGGGTTCGCAGCAGGGCGCCGCTTTTGGGTAAGAGGAAGAAGCACCGAGTGGGCGCCGGAAGTGTTGAGCTGCGATGGAGAGGGAAGCGGGGAAGAGGTTGCCCTTTCCCTCCTGGGCTGCTGGTCCTCTGAACTAACACGTTTCCCTTCCTCTCCCCGCTCCCGGACCCTCCTCCCGTTTCCAGGTGGCCTTCAGATCGAAAGCAGCGAAGAGACCGACCAGGGGAAGTACGAGTGCGTGGCCAGCAACAGCGCCGGCGTGCGCTACTCCTCACCCGCAAACCTATATGTGAGAGGTAGGGAACGCCGTGACTCGCAAGAGTGGCAAATGCCATCCTCTCCAAATTCCTCTTCCCCCCCAGCCTACACGTGCGCAGAGACACGCACACACTTCTGAAGGCTTCTGTTTTTTGCTGCGTTTCTTTTTTTCTCAAGATCCAGAAGGTGTTTGGGGTGGATTGCAAAGTCCGTATCGGAGACAAATAGGTGACCCAGAGCCTGGCTGGACATTGGAGAGACCCAACTGTGTGGGAATATGCACTGGGGAGCAGGAGTAAATGTCCAATAAATGGGTCTGCGCCTACACTGCAGGAGGCCTCCGGCTAACAACTGGCTCAGTTTCCCCACTTTTTCCAACGACCGCCAGGGCAGGCCAAGGGGCAGCTCCTGTCCCTGTAAATATCCCACACCAACCCAATCTACGTATGTCGTTCCTGCTTTGCAGCGGGTTGGGATGGATGACCCTTTAGGTCCCGACTCTTGTGAGTTTGCATGGACTGCGCCAGCGGAGGGAGTGGTTGGAGGTGCAAGTGCCCCGAACAAGGAGCTGTCGCCCTGCCCTTATTTCTAAACGCTTGTGTTTTTCTTTCTAGCCCGCCTAAAAATATGCCTTGCTCTTTCTGTTCCCCCTGTCAAAAAAAAGGGGGGGGTTTTCCCCCAACCACCATTGTGGTAGCCAGTACTTATGGGGTGGTCCTAAGCGTCTCCGCCGTTTAGACGTTAATCATGGGACTGCAAGAAATGAGAGAGGCAAGTCTCTCAAGGCCATCTTTTAAGACACTCACACCTTCCTGGACCCTTCGTCTCGGGATTATGGGAATTGTAGTCTACCCAGAAGGAGGGGGCAGGGGTGCCAAAAGTACTGGAATTCCCACAAATCCTCACCCGCCAAGATGTCAACCAGTTGTTAAAGCTGGTCCATGTTTGCGGTGTGGGTCAGCCTTTCCCTGATAATTCGGATTTGGTTCGTAATGCGGCCATCCTCCTTTGAGGCCGGAGGTACATCCTTATTTATTTATTTATCCCTGTACATCACCTTTAAGGGACGTGGGTGGCGCTGTGGGTTAAACCACAGAGCCTAGGACTTGCCGATCGGAAGGTCGGCTGTTCGAATCCCCGCGACGGGGTGAGCTCCCGTTGCTCGGTCCCTGTTCCTGCCAACCTAGCAGTTCAAAAGCACCTCAAAGTGCAAGTAGATAAATAGGTACCGCTCCGGCGGGAAGGTAAACGGCTCTGGTTTGCCAGAAGCAGCTTAGTCATGCTGGCCACATGACCCAGAAGCTGTATGCCAGCTTCCTCGGCCAGTAAAACGAGATGAGAGCCGCAACCCCAGAGTTGGCCACGACTGGACCTAATGGTCAGAGGGTCCCTTTACCTTTACATCACCTTTGCCAACCTGGTTCCTCTAGACCAGCCTTTCTCAACCTGTGGGTCCCCAGATGTTGTTGGACTACAACTCCCATCACCCCTAGCTAGCAAGGCCAGAGCTCAGGGGTGATGGGAGTTGTAGTCCAACCACATCTGGGGACCCACAGGTTGAGAACCGCTGCTAGACTACAGTAAACAGTAATGTCTGGAGGGCACCAAGTTGGTGATGGATGCTGTAAAGGAATTTTTTAAGGAGAGTTGTGCAGTCCTGCCACAGAATTATGATCAAACACCTGACCTTTCAAGCTGTCCCAACAACAGCACCCCACTTAAAAAAAAAAAGGGAGGGGAACCCCTTTTCGTATGTGATTCCATGAGCCACCTAGCAAAAGCCCAGGATATGACCCTGCCAGGTGCTTAGACAAAATCGTGCACAAACACTACACCTTGTGCGAAGGGATGCTGAAACCCCCTAAAAGACGTGTTTCAGAGTCTACATCAGTGTTCCTTGGATCTCCAGTTGCTGTTGTGCTACAGACACACCAACTGCAACCAGTTGGGTCACTGGTCAAGGATAATGGGGAATTGTGGTCCTTCAGCACCTGTCTGGGTGAGGTTCAAACGGCTGCATGAATCAGGTGGCGTTGGGGTTCTTGGAAGGCCCCTGCCCCAAATGGCCAGAAGTGACCTGTTCACCACCATCAGAGTATAGAGTCTCACGGTCCAGCCAGGGGTCTCCCAAACCTAGGCAGGCTCACGCCGTTCCGTCAAGGCTTGACAAACGGCCAAGTGGTTCCTTTGGGGGGGGTGTTTTTGGAAGACTGGCCACACACGAAATGGGTCCCCATTGTCTCTGATCAGAAGGGCGCCCTCGTCAACAGAAGTGGGGCACGGGGGGGGGTCCCCTCTTGCAGTTATTGTGAAGAGATAGGCTGCGACACTTTTTCTTCCTCTTTTCCAGTCTGATGTCAGGTGCACAAAAATTGAAATAACGTTCTGTATCAATGACTTGCCAAACCGAGCATCCCTTTCAAACTAAGGATGCTGGAAGCTGCGGCCTTCCTAAATATCTCCTAGGAGTACACCTTCCGTCATCTCCTAAGCATAGGTTTCCCCAGCCTCCCACTAGATACCCGATAAGCCTCCTTGTTTTCACTACCTGGGACAATGAGGTTGTTGGCGTCTCTGCTATGGACCAGTCCATGGCTGGTCAGCTTCATGCACCACAGTAGATCGAAAGCTATACAGGCCTTTAGAAATTTCAATGTCTAACACTGCAGTAAAGTGACCTCTTTTTCCAGTCTGCTTGGGGCCACATGCCTGATAACACTGCTTATTTTCTGGGTTTTGTGTGTGTGTTTTTTACACCCAAGCTAAATTTTTAAAGGAGGCTTTTGTCTTTGTTTTCTGCTGCTGCTGTTATTGTTGATGTTGTGGCCCAATGACAAAAAAAATGAGAAATGATGTCCGTTGCCGCCATTGTTGATGCAACCAGCAACGTAGAGCGTAACATCTGGTGCTGTGCTGAAGGAAATGTTTCTCAGAGTTTTTGTGCCGTGGGTAAAATCTCAGGCCTCGAGGACCGAGCTCACATGATCCAAGACTCATGTGGGATTGTCCCTTCCGTCGTGGGTCTTCTGTGGGTTGAGAATTTTAACCTGCCACAGTTCAGAAATTGGGAGCTTTCTCTCGCCCCATTTGTTCAATTTGGTTGCTTAATTTTGTGTAAAAACGCTATATTCTTCCCCTACGAAGCTGGGATGGTTTGGCCCACTCAGTCACGGAAAACGTTGGAGCGGTGAGCGATGGTAACCATGTCAGTCCATCCTAAAAAAAAAGTCCAAAACCCAATACCTTTTGGGGGGACTGGCCAAAGTGTCAGAAAAGTGGACCAAATTTATGAGTTGCTCTTTGTCCTGGAATCTAGACAGAGCTCTTTCTCCCCAATATCAATGCTTTGTGTTGTTGCTTGCTCAGCACTACGCAGTAGCGGCACCTGCTGGGGTAACACCAGCATTGCACAATATTACAACACCTGCCCAACCTGTCCCTCACCTCCTAGGAATCCAGAGGAGAAAGGATTTGAAAAATGAGCTCTTTCCAAGTGCAGAATAAGCACTAAATGACGCAGGTTGCGCAAGCTCCCCTCAGGAGCTGCTTACTGTTTCAAACCCAGCTTTGGAAAGCCACAGGTGTGGTGCATGTGTTTACGGAGACATCTCTTTGGGTTCAAAACGTAAGATCTTCCGTAGAGTCAGGCAGCACCTCGCATCGTAGATGGGGCAAGGAGCTCACCTTTGGAAGTTCACCTGGACAACGGAGTGCTCTCTCTAATAACTTCTGCTTCCTTACTGTGTTTTACGATAATCGCGCAAAAGGGAGAAATGGTTTGGATTGTGTGACTGGGGCCTTATCAGTAGTAGCATTATTTTCCTTTTCTATCATTTTCCAAAGAGCCTTAAAGATGATTGCTGGGTGTATGGTTGTTGTTCAACAGTTCAAACTGTTTCTCCCATAATATGCTTTTATCCCCTCCCAAAAAAGGGATTTCAGGTGCACAGAGTAGGGTGTTTGCAGTGTTTGGTGTTCCTCCCCATTTCTGCCCTTTTCCTGTTGCCGTTAGTAATTTTAACCACCATAGGGAACTTCCGTCCACCCCCACCCCCTTCATGTCTGAATGAGTTTGGCTGGGGAGGGGAGGAGCCTGTGTTGGAAGGGGCGGGGCTTTTAAGGCATGTCTGAATGGGCGCCGGGAAATGGGTTTGGCAGCTTCACAATAAGCCAGAAGCACGGGAAACAGCATCCTTTTTTTAATAATAAAAAAGAGCCCCCAAATATTCCGAGGGACCGGGTCGAGTTACGAGCCGCCGTTCTCTTACCTGGTGAATGAGCCCAGGGAGACAGATGCAGCGCTTCTATCCAGGTGCAACTCACCTGGATTGGCACAGGGTTGCGGGGACAGGATTGCACCGGCTCCGTTCCCCTGCAGTTCCCATGAAGACATGCCTTGGAGGGGTTTTCGAGGGCACCTCAAAATATTCGGGTGGGCGGCTGGAACTTCCAGGACGGCGACTGACAGTGCCAAGGTGGAAACGAAGGAGAAGACTTCATTTTTATTGTTTGGGGTGCCGTGCTGTAAATGTTGTTTAACCTTCTTTTCTCTGAGCTGCAGGGGCTTTTGGCCAGATCTATGGGTGCAGGGTAGAATCCACCGGTGTGTGGGGGGGTGTTGGGGGAGGGTCTGGTGGGGTGCAGGGGGGGGATCATTCCTGCCGAATTGGCAAGGAAGGACCGTGCTAACACAGGGAGGGGGGTCACGTGGCTAAATGAGGTGGGGGAAGACGGTCGCTGGAAAAATTAAAAAATATATATGGACATTTTGAGATGATATATATTACTTTTTTTAGCTCAATATTTTTATTTTTTTTAAGTTAAAAGGCAGAAATACGAAAGGAAAGGAAAGGAAAGCAATTGAAATTGCAGTTGCCAGCCGTGAAGGCCTTTTTTTACTCTCTCTGTGTTTCCCTTATTTTTCTTCTCTCCTCTTCTCATGTCATTGTGTTCTGCATCAAACCCCTTTAAAACATCCCTCAGAGCTACGAGAAGGTTGGTGTGGTTTTTTTTTTTCCTTTTTTACTTTCTTTACCCACATATTTTTACATTTCTTAATTATAAAAAAAAAAAATTAAAAAAAGAGAGAAATATAGAAATAATCCTATATCTTATGATTGCGATATATCTTTTTTTTATAAAAATAAATTAATAAATAACATAAAAAATAAAATGGCGAATATATATATATATATGATTGAATATTCTTTTTTAAAAAAAAATGAGAGAAAAAGAAAGGAAATCTCTGCATTTATATATATATCTATATATATATTTTATATGATAATTAAAAAAAAAAAGTTGACAAAGCGAGACCCCCCCCCCCTTCGTTCTTGGGTCTCGTTGGAGATGAGTTGAGTTGCATTGTGGGACGTGTGCGCTCTCTGCATCTGTTGGTTGCATTTCTGTGTGCACTTTTTTCTGTCGTCATGGTTACCTTGCTGTATGGACATTTTGGGCCTGATCTGCATGACAGGAGAATGTTTACGAGGCAACGATCTTTTGCATGCCGGTCCTTTTCAGTTTTTTGTTTTGTTTTTTTAAATTAATATTATTTCGTTTCTCCCTTTAAATTTTTATTCTTATTTCCCTTCTTTCAAATTGTGTGCCTGAGCGTGCGTGCGTGTATATATATATATATATACATATATACATATATAATTTCAAAGGAACTTTTTTTTTTTTAATGTTATCAGTGGAATATTTTTTCCCCTCCCCCCCCCACCCGCAAATTTATTTCTTTTTAAACATTTTGATTTTTGGTTTTTTTTCCCCGTTTCTCTCTTTTTTTTTCTTTTTTTTAAAAAAAACCTTCCTTTGTCGGTTTGTCAGTCGGTTGGTTTCGATCGGTTATGCTGTGCTGTAATTTTATTCCAATTGCATTGTGGAAAAAAAGCCAGTGTTCCTGCTTCCGTTTCTTCCACCCCCTCCTCAAAATCTACCCCCCCCCAAACCCACACCCCTCTGACGATTTAACAACCTCCAGCCCGATAATATTGCAGCCACACAGCTCTAATGCCTGTCTGAGGAACAGTCTCCCGGGACGAGGGGGGGGGGGGTCTCGGCTAGACGGTCCCAAAAGGAACTTGAGCTTTACATTTCACGGGCTGCTAAAAAGGGAACTTAAGCGTTGCCCTCAAGTGGACAGAACAATCCTGGACCCCCGTTACACCACCAGAAGTTTACTTTCCTTAAATTGAATCGCTTCCGGATAACCACCGCATCAAAGTGGTTTTAATCACCCAGAAAAACACACGTGCAAATCATGCAAACTTTTGCAAACTTTTTCAGCAGGGGGCCGGTCCACTGTCCCTCAGACCTTGTGGGGGGGCCGGACTATATTTTGGAAAAAATAATAATGAACCAATTCCTATGCCCTGCAAATAACCCAGAGGCGCATTTTAAATAAAAGGACACATTCTACTCATGTAAAAACACGCTGATTCCCGGACCGTCCGCTGGCTGGATTTAGAAGGCAATTGGGCCGGATCCGGCCCCTGGGCCTTAATTTGCCTACCCATGGTCAAGGGTTGGGCTTCCAATTCTGTGACGCCAACAGACCATAGCTGCCTCCCTACCTGTGTCATCTAATGATGCCTCTGTCTGCAAAGGTTGCGAATGTTTAAAATAAGCCGATAAACGTCTCTTTCAGCACCCTGTTTGAAAGTACATTGCAGCAGGAGGATTAAAGAATTCTTTTTCAAAGCTTCAGCTAAACTGCTGGTTATTCTCAAGATCCCCCACAAAGCGCCCGGGCTTCCACACAGTACAAAATCGCAACCGGTGAGGCTTACGGCCTTCTGAGACTTTGCCTGAGTGGCCCTTCAAAATATTGGTGGACTACAAAGCCCATCATCCCTGACCGTTGGCCATGTTGAATGAGGCAGGCGGCATCTAATTAGGACCACTTTCCTGCCATTTTTAGTTCAGGGCTGGGTTACCTGTCACCCTGGGCTCTTTTTCTTATTTAGAATTTATATGCCACTCGGTTTACAATAAATGTTTAAAGGATCAGTGGAGACTGTCGGAAGCTTCCAAAGGGATTAAGATCAACAGCGAAAGGGATTAAAATCGCATTATTTATTTGACAAAATTAACTTCGCCTCCCTGGGTGAGAACCAGAAATCTGGGAAGTGCAGTTTGTTGAGGGTGCCGAGAGTTCTTTGGAGACCCCCTCAGAGCGCTATAGTTCCCAGAGCGGTTTAGCAATCAGTCAAGAATAGAGGGGTCTCCTTACCACTTAAAATATACAAAGTCCTGCTCAGAGTAAACCAATTCAAAGCGACATTCAAATTACATGACTCGGTAGGCGTGCCTGAGCAAAGTTTTCAACAGGCACCAAGAAAGAAGAAGCACGAAGGCCTTTGCCTAATATCAAGTAGCAGAGAGTTCCAGAGAGTAATCCACCTTGATGGACTTTCTTATGTGACTGAGATGAGTGCCACATGAACACCCCTGGAAACCATCTGCATTTTGGATATTTTTAAAGCTAAACTTTGAAATCCTTTGTATTTGAGGAATGGAATCATAGGGTGCGTTATACGTAGGGCTGCCTCTGAAGAGGGTTCAGAAACTTCATCTAGTGCAGAATTCAGCGGCCCAGTTGCTCACCGGAGCAAGATGGTTTGAGCATATTACACTGATCCTGGTCTGAATGCACTGGCTACCAGTTAGTTTCTGGGCCCAATTCAAAGTGCTGGTATTGACCTATAAAGCCTTAAACGGCTCAGGACCACAACACTTCAAGGACCGCCTCTTTCAGTATGAACCGAACTGGACCCTGAGATCATCTTCTGAGGCCCTTCTTCATGGGCCTCCTCCTCAAGAGGTCCAGAAGGCGGCAACACAAGAACGGGGCCTTCTCTGCAGTGGCTCCCCATCTGTGGAATGCTCTCCCCAGGGAAGTTCGCCTGGCTCCTTCATTATACACCTTTGGGCTCCAGGCGAAAATATTCATCTTCAACCAGGCCTTTGGCTGACTGACATTCAATGCCCTTTTAAAATGTGTTGGGAAGAGGTCACTGGGTTTTTCTTTTGTTTTTTTTTTTTGTTGTTGTTATTATGTAGTATGTCTTGGCGGGGGGGAACGCGGATGGCACTGTGGTCTAAACCACTGAGCCTAGGGCTTGCCGATCAGAAGGTCAGCAGTTCGAATCCCCGCGACAGGGTGAGCTCCTGTTGCTCGGTCCCTGCTCCTGCCCACCTAGCAGTTCGAAAGCATGTCAAGTGCAAGTAGATAAATAGGTACCACTCCAGCGGGAAGGGAAACGGCATTTCCGTGCGCTGCTCTGGTTTCGCCAGAAGTGGCTCAGTCATGCTGGCCGCATGACCTGGAAAAACTGTCTGCGGACAAACGCCAGCTCCCTCGGCCTGTAAAGTGAGATGAGCGTGCAACCCCAGAGTTGTTCGCAATGACCTAACGGTCAGCGGTACCTTTACCTTTATGTCTTTTTTATATCATGATTTTATCTTGTGAACCGCCCTGAGACATGCAGGCATAGGGCAGTATACAAATTTAATAAATAATAATAATAATAATAATAATACATAAATAAGTAAAGTGCCCCACCCCTGTACACACTTCAGACAGCACCATTTTGATAAGACTCCCCATTGCAAACTTTTAAGGGTCTGCGCCTTCTTATAAATGGCTCTCTCTCTCTGACTGACAGACAGACAGACAGACACACACACACACACACACACACATACGTATTCCGGCATTCCCAAATCTCCCCCCACCCACCCCCAAAAAACCACCCCTTTTCTATATACTCCTGTTTCCTTAATTATGACAAAGATGACACCCTTCTAAAACCCAGTGGGCAAGTTCCTAATGTACAGGTATTAAAGCTTTGTGGCCGATCTGTTTGTGTATTTATTTATTGAGAAATCCGGTGCAGCTTTGACAGTTATCTGTCTCTTTCTTATTTTCTCTCTCTCTTCTACTTTCGCTTTCTCTTCCTCTCTCTTTCCTTCTTTCTCTCTCTCTTTCTCTCTCTGTCTGTCTTTCTCTAAAGATGCTGGTATTTCTATGCGGGTGCTTTTACATGCACACACTTCATCCTTTCACAGATGCTCCCCTCGCTTCTGGGGTTTGGGGGGGGGCGTGTGCCTCACCCCAGAACGCCCAAAAGCAGGGGATCCAGAGTATGGATCTGAACTTCCAGTTTCTGGGTACCCACAATCTTCCCAGAAGAGTCCCTAGATAGACATTTGATCTGGACCAGCGCAGCTCATCCAGTGTTCCCATGAAACAATAGAGGTTTCTTCTTTGCACCAAGGCATCCTTGACCCCACTTGCCCTCTCCTCCGGAGATTAATTAGCAAGGCTTCACTCAGTGTCCTCTTGACTGGGTTTTGCAAATGATTACCACAGCTAGAGGACAGGGTGATGGGTGAAGTGCGCTTGCAAGGCAATGTGAGCTACCTTTCAGGCAAGTCGCAAGCTTCAGTTGTGGTCCAAAATCTCTGCAGGGCACCAACCTGGCGACGGCTGCCGTAGGGGTTCGAGGCAGCAATAACCCCCTGGAGTTAGAGTCTTCTGCACACGTTCTAGAAATGTGGAAAATAAATGAAATACATAGGGCCAGATCCCAGGCTTTAGTTGAAATTGGGTCTTGCCAAAAGCTATGGGGCAAGAGTAGTCATGGCTTGGGGTTGGTCCTACGTGGAGCAGACCCCGGCTAATTAACGACCTAAGTAACGTAGGACAACTAACTCCAATGAGTCTACTCTGAGTTAATTGGATGAAACCCTTGACATTTAAGCCCCCACTTATTTCGGTGGGAACTTAAGCACAGCTGACTTGTTCCAAATCCAACAGGTGGATGGAGCCTGTAGTGTAAAATATCTTGAGGCGAGGGGCTAACTTATACCTTGTGTATAAGTTAACCCCTTGAGTAAGGGGTTAAGGCTACAGTGCTGACCAAACAAGGGCCGGAATTTGAGAAGGCCAAACCTGCATGAAGATTATTTTGTTGGAATGTCAACAT